TTTCACCTTTTTTTCTTTTTTTCAAAATTCTTTTTTCTCATTTTGGGCCCCTTTAGTTTGGGGGATCTCCATCCCCCGAACTCCCCCACCGAGCATGGCTGGCTGGGGAATTCTGGGAGATGAAGTCCACCCAGCTTAAAATGCCCATGGTTCAGAAACACTGATGTAGACAGAGCTTAGTCTTGGCATCTGGTCCAAGCCACAGGGACATGGTGCATTTGACATAATTTGCCCAACCGTATGATTGTCCACAGTCATAGGGGATACATGCCACAATGACATTACCTGTGTCATAACATCATTGCCCAGATGACACCAATTATGTAATTGGTGTCACTTGCATGACTGACATCATGACTAGTGTGTCAATTCCTCCTCTCTGCAGAAGCCCATGGAACATGTCAACTCAGCCAGTATGTTTTTCTGCATTGATTCTACTGCTGTTCACAACCATGCTGGCCAACCTTGTGTTTGAAAGCCAGGCAGCCATTTTAATTACCTCAAATCAGGGCTTTTGGGGGAGGAAAAAAAAACTTGGCTTCAAAAATTCACTCAACTCCCTTGCAGACGTATTGCCTCCTCACAAAAGCTGATCTTAGGAGAAAAGGCAGTGAAGCAGTCTTTATCAACTCGTTGAAGATAGTAGCCACCATCATATAACATTCTAGATAAGGCTAAAATGGGGAGGTTCAGTGTGTTGTGGGAAACTGAGCCATTGTTTTCATATGTGTTTGAATCAGACCATTACCTTATGCCATAATATGGTTTATTTGTTTGGGAGCTAGCATATCATCTGAACTCAACCATTATATTTTGTTAACAGGGCTTAGGTTTTGCACGTCATGCGAACACCCCCTTTCAATCAATCAATAAAATACTGTTTGAACATGTTTAACTTCAGTTCCAGGAAGCATACATACAGATCAGACTTTTCCAGCCTTGCAAAAGCTATAACCTGCTTCATTTTAAACCTTAGTGGGGAGTGAATGGTCCTTGATCCCGGTTTAGCAAGATATTTTAGGCTCTGGCCGGGGCTAGATTTTCAGCACTGCTGGATACGACATTCCTGAAGAGTTCATTGTCCAAAATTAGAAACGGAATTTCAAATAGGTTCTTTGGGGACAGGATGACCTTAGATAGAGTGGCAGGTGGTATTTCCTGGCTCCACACTCTGTTCCCAACTTTGCCTTTTTGTAGTTCTTGTACTGTTCACTCAGCAAAGTTTCCTACCTGATCTCTGACATAAATGCTAACTTCTCTCCCTTGTGCCGGAAAACACAGGGAGCAGAATTACATTATAAGATGCGATTCTTTTATTGTGCCAATAATGAACATTACAGAGTATAGGTAAGAGACACCATTTTTGGCCATCCACATTTTAAAATCCCTGTAAGTAGAGAAGTAGATTACCAGGGATAAAGGTGTTTTTTTCTTAAAGCATTTTTTAAAAAACATACATTTATGCCTAAGACACTAGTTGAGTAGAAGAGAATGAGCTCTGCTCGACTCCTGGCATCTCCAGGTAAAAAAGAAGAAGGAGGAAACAGAATCCTCAGCTTGATGCCTAGGGAGTTGCCACCAGACAAAATGAATGACCCACAGCCAGAAGGACAAAGATCCAGATCAAGGGAATGTCAAAATGGCCACCAAATGTTGTCAGAGTGACTGCCAACATTTGGTGGTGGTTTCCCACTGTTCTGAGCCAGAAAAGACATGGAAACAATAATGTAACCCCCCAAAATATGCATCAGATGTCTACTGAAATAATCATTCCCACTTCCTCAAAGGGAAAGCATCAAATCAATGTGCAGCCATCCACGAAATGCCTGTGGCCTCTCTGAAGCAGTGGCTTCTTCGCTGTGGCCCCTTTGCACCCATCAAGAAACATTCAGTGCAGCCCCAGCCTCAGAGAGAGAGATTTGCAATATTTTAAACAGAAATACAAAATATCTCACTACAGTGTGAAAGCTTGTCCTTATGTAACTTAAGTGTTCCCAGCCTGCTGTCCAGGTGCTTGGTGTAGATGGAAAACTTCATAGTTCCTTCCTTCATCCAATTTGTTATACTTAATCCAGACTTATATTCAGCTTTTCTGAAAGAGGGCCATCCTATGGACAGACATTTCAGAAAACTATGGCCAGTCAGAGAAGATCAATTCTGACCTACCTGGAGAAATAGCGGAAGCTGAAATGATGCACCTTCCTAGGTAAGCATTAAAAACGTGTGATCCCAAACCAGCCCTGTCCATCCTGTCATCTCCAGAGACAGACTGTTTGCATTCCAGTCTCTCCTCTCTCAAAGCTGCTATTTCCACCAGAGGATCCTAAGGATAAAATGGGAAGAGACAACAATAATTTGCCTTGGAGGTACAGCCATTCTCAGATGCACCAAACATCTGCTGGGAAAGATCTGAGGCTTGTGAAACTAGCCAGGTGGTGAGAGGAAGTTCTAAGTTGAAAAGGCTTGGGAAGGTAGCTCATTCCACAGAAGGATCTCAGAAGGGGGAAAAAGTTTCATAAATTTAAACTTATGCACTGAATGATTACCACTCTAACATTATATTGCCTTTGGGGTTTGCACGCTTGTTTCTTGTCCAAACAGGTGGCTTTAACATGTCCCTTTGGAGAAGGTCTGTAGGAACACTGTCTTTTTTTTTAATTATTTTTTTTATTAAAGAATGTTTTGCAGAATAAAAACAATACAGGTTTGAAAAAAAGGAAAGTAAAAGTAAAGAAAAGTAAAAGAAAAGTGATAAGTAAATAAGAAAGTAATGAAAGAAAAGAGAAAGAGAAAAGAAAAGAAAAGAAAAGAAAAGAAAAGAAAAGAAAAGAAAAGAAAAGAAAAAACGATATAAAGGAGTGGCTTCTAATC